GCTAAATCAGGCACTGGTGGTAGTACGACTCTACAAAATAATCAGAGTATATGATAATAGTTACTAGAGATAACATTGCTAAAAGCTTTCATCACTGGTAGTCATGCTATTGTACCATTAAACCATAAATATGATAAAAATAATGGCGAAATAAGTGAATGAAAGCCAGTAATGAACCGCTATTTCATAACGGTCACGAAACTAGCAAAAGACTACTATAACAATTTTTATCACGCAATTGTACAGGTATAAAATAACTATAATTCAAAATGGTAACCATCTTTTTACCACTTTTTCAGTTTTTATAGAATAAGGGTTACAAACGAGCACACAGTCCACCTGATGGTAAGTGGATGCTGTGATCCATAGACATTTACATTTATCTTTAGTTAAGAATCAAAATGCAAATGCGTTGTCAACCCTGACGACTAAGATGGAATGCCTCGTTTCCAGTAATCTTCACTACACTTAAGTAATCCAGTAATCTTATCTACACTCTTCTTAAAAAATACAGAAGAAGAAGCATTAAGCTGCTATTTTACGCCGGTATTCTGTGAGATCGTGGTTCTACCCCGTGGGCCGACCCACCCATTCGTGCTAAAATCATAATATATGGCTGCAGCGTGGCTCTACCACGTTCTGACCTATAAAGTCTCAATTCTCTAGTTTATCATCTTTTTTAAATCAATTGCAAAATTTATACTAAACGGAACAAAATAAGCAAACAGACAAGAAAGTGAGTTTATATTGTTTGTTAAAGTTCAGAGGTAATATTTGATGTTTCAAGTCTCTAGCTTATCGGAAAGTTAGTTTGAAATAGATTGCAAAAACAGCAGACAAACAGAGAAGAAAACTCATATAAAACGTGGTAAAATAAATTTGATTTATAAAACATCAAAGATTAACTTTTTATAAGGCTATATCAAAATTTATGACAGTCTTCTATCTTTGCAATTATTGTGACAGGTAAACAAAGTGATAGACGTAGGGCGCCAAGTTTCCTGGAGTCGAAATAAACAAGCTCAATGTTGTGAGATGCCTACAAGTAGGTCGTATAATAAAATGTTACGATACATTTTCTAATAAGAGCCTCGATTTGTTCTCAAATTAGTTTCTCTTGCATCTCCTAGCGAGTAAGTTTTGATAATCACTGGATATATTAAAATATATTATACAGAAAATGCTGTCGTATGGTGGCGGCTTTAAATTATAAGGCTACTGGACGAGAAACGAAATAAGTATAATTTAAGAATGGCGATCATTCTTTCACCACGTGTACCATTTGAGCTTTGTTTCAAGTATCTAGCTCATACGGAAGTTACGTTTAAAATCGATTGAAATATTTGTACCGTAATCGTTTGCGAATCAAAATGCAGATGCGTTGTCACTTGTCACCCGTGAGGACTAAGATGGAATGCCTCTTTTCCAGTAAAAAGGGTCTCCGGTTCTCTACACTCACCATACGAAACACAGTAGTGTTAAGCTGCTATTTTATTCTGGTATTCTGTGAGAGTGTGGTCCTTCCCCGGTCGAGCCGATCCATTCGTGCTACAACTATACTACTAATATAGCTGCAGCATGGCTCTACCACGTAAAAACTGCTATTTTACGTTGGTATTCTGTGAGAGGGTGGTCGTACCCCAGTCAAGCCTCAACCATAATAGCTGAGTGTGGCTCTACTACGTATACGTGCGGTCTTTCTACAACCATAATAGCTGCAGCGTGGCTCTACCACGTATACGTTTATCAGTGCATGGCGAAACCTAGCTGACAAGCCTTCACAAGGCACCTGTTCACAAGTATGACACATGTGGCAGCCATCGCCCTCCCCGACTAAATTAAAGTGAAGTGAACACAACGCCGCTTCAAGCTGATGCAAAATTAATCCCTTTATGTACAATTTGGGGAAACCCTATTTTCATTAAATAGAGTGCAGTAGAGCCGAGGCAATTCAAGGGACGCCTGATTGTCTAGAATTTGATATAACAGGAATAAGCCAAATTCGATTTGTAGTGTCGATTATACTGAAATTATTATTACAAATTATTCTTGCTAGTTTCATACGTAAAAGAAAATATATCTCATATATTTTCTAATATTCACATTAGCAGCGTAGACTTTTCCTGTTTCAATCTTAAATTTGATAGTAGCCCTATTCCCCAGCAGTGGGTTGTCTATGGGCTGATAGTTTATTTATAAGGTTTATAAAAAAAATTAAAAACATTAAAAAGTCTAAGTTCGATTCCGGTAAGCATCACTTTAGTTTGTATTATTAATTGCAACGTTAAGCGCTGATTCTGATTAACTGCATGCTTGTCAGTGAAAGAGAATTGTGAGAAGAACTGCATGTCCAATAAAAAAATATTCTCAGGACATGGAAGTCCACCAAACACGCACTGCACCGCGGCGGATTAATAACTCTATGATCCTTTCAGAAATAGTCCGGTATAGTCCGGTAGCGAGACGTATTTTTACTTCGCTACAAATTGATTTTTCTTTAAAAAAATTTAGAATGTTTATTAATTATATAAAAAAAGAATTCATAGACATGAAATGCATACATTAGGATTTTTTTGTTTCTTGAAATTGTTACGTAAATCTTTTATTTGCAACGTAAAAGTAGAATCTAATCTGCATTGTTGAAATTAAAGGACTTTGAAATTGGAATCATGTTTTTATTTTTCTACCGACTTCAACAGGAGGAAGAACTCAATTAGACGGTGTGAAACAGAAGGAGGTAGTCAATTTGACTGTATGTTTTTTATGTGTGTTACCTCATAACTTTTTTATGGGTGAACCGATTTAGATGATACTTTTTTTATTTGAAAGCTGGTTCTTCACATGGTCTGACCAACAGTTTTTGAGTTATTTTTAATAATTTATATTGAAGTCGATTGTACAAATTTTTTTATTTTAAATTATCGTTTTACTTCTTTACTGTATTTGTACACTCTTATCCTGAGAAGGATGGCGCTTGCCCTCAAAATTTATTTTTAGACATCCCGGTTTCTTTTATAATTTACTCAACATTATCGTCGCAGCGATAAGCTTTTTTTTCACCCCTGAGGACTAAAATGGAATGCCTCATTTCCATTAAAAAAGGTTCTCCGGCTCTCTAAACTCACCACAAACACAGTAGAATTAAGCTGCTACTTAACTCTACACGAAAGCACAATTGGTGATACAACTATCATAATGTAACTGCATCGTGACTCTACCACGAAGAGCATAATTAAATAGTTATACAAAAATTATTATTACATGCTTATTGAAATAATTAAAAAATAGAGAACCGTGGTAGTTCAGTAGCTAAGCCCTCGCTGAAAATTTCACAATACGTGGGTAGCCCAGGTTCGATCTCATGGAATGAAATTTCACCTCGTTGGCGTCAGTCGTAACGTACTGGACCGACGACGGGTATCAACGTCATAGAGCTCATGTCTTGTACTACGATTAAGGTAAATACCATACCCAACAGTGCACTTTTACAGGCCGATGAAGAGTTCATTATTATTACATGTAGGTTATGTACCTACATGCAGTAAGCCGTGTATATTATATATTATTATAGCCGAATATATTATTTTAATTAATAAAAAAAAATATTAAGCATATTAAGTACTGTAATGAATTCGGTGAATAATTTGGATTGTATCCACTCACACTATTTTCGTATAAACCTAAAAAGTGTTCAATGCACCCGCCTATTAGACATCCCCAGGTATCACCCAAATTGAAAAGAACAAAGGTGCGTTTGCATTTGTAGACTATGATAAAATACCTAATTACCTGTTGGTACCTATACAGAAGCTTTTTCACACATTTATAAAAAAAAAAACACAAAATAAATTAAATAAAAATAAAAGGCACATTTTAATTTTACGGAATTATTCGTGTTTATTATTCATCTATTTTAAGAACCACGATCATGAGTGCTACAAGCTTAGTGAATTTAGTTTATGTTAAAACAAACGCAATAAAATAAAATTAAAAACTATAATTTTATAAAAGGCTTAAAGATAAATAGTCTTAAAGATAATTGTTCAATAAGATTTAGAATGCATGGAATTTTGAGGAATAATTAAGAACATTTGCCAAGTGTTTTGGTTGCAAACAATTTGCTGCTATAATGAAGCAGTTATAGGTGTAAGGTAAATAGTTTTCAGAAAATCGTAAAGAAAAATAACCTGATTCTGTTGGGTCAGGCGGTCGATGCCTCTGTCTGCCGTTCCACCAGCAGCCACAACAAGGCATCACTTTCCACTTATACTCACATTATATGTAACACGCGAATATAAACTTTAACATCAACATTTTTTACAAGTATTTGTTCTGTAAATACAGCTTCACATATAACTTTTAACGTCATATCATATCAGCACAATTCAATTTACAGCAAATTGCATCAAAATTACCCTTAACACTGCTCTTCATATAAGAAAGGGTAATAAACTATACTCTAAATCCCAAGGTCATATTTTAATATATTAATTACAAAGTACAAAAAATTATTATTTCTCGTCACAACAAGACTTAATTTAAAAAAAGTAGAGGATGAGTGTTCGGTACATTAATCCGAAAGGATTAAGCGGGGCACGACCGACGTCGGCCGCGCTCTGCGCTGAACTGCGAGACTGCGACGGCTTCTAAACTAAAGGTTTCCCGATTCTAGTGTCTTCATATTTTTACTTGGAAAACAACTCTTTTCATTTTTGTTTCATAATCATAAGCCCAAATATTATTCTTTAAATTACATAATACATTCAGTATGAAACAAACAAATTTAAGAGCTCACAAAATGTGTATCTATTACGGTTATAACTGCAATAATTTAGCAACACTATCTAATTGTTTTTTTAATTATTTGAATTTCGATTAGTCGATCTTCTGTCTATGTAAAGTTCGATTCTCGGATCTCCTTTCATCAGCGATGTCTTTTAAGAATTGTGGAACCCATTTAGTTTTAATTAAAGCAAAAGTTATACTAATAAAAAACTTACCCGTAGCAGAACCACTGTTCATATTTGTACTTTGCTGAGTAGGTTTCACTGGCGATGATGAAAGTCGTGGATTGGCCAATGATTTATTAGAGCCCACTTGAAGTGAAGTTTTTACGAAAGGTATAGGAGATGTAGGTAAGGACAACGGAGACGATAATCGTAATGGAGATGTGGGTGTACCTAAGTTTGAAGGAAGAGATAATTTTGATTCCGAAGATTGCAACGAGATCGTTTTAGAAACATTTGGTTTGTCGGGAGTCGACTCGTCGTTACAAAGGACGGTGGGCAAGGCTATCTGAAGTGAATTATTTTTTAGGTCATTGCTTTCTTCTTTCTTGTCACGCGTATTAGACATAATATCGATCTGTAACAAAACGAAGTAGTCATTTATTTTCACTTTGTTGTAAAAAATGTAAATTATAAAGTACAAATATACTATAATTTGAGTCAATGTTCTTGTCTTGCTTTGTGTAATGTAATTTTCAAATAATGCAAAAAGAGAAACACTATTGGAAGATGTTGCGTTTAATGATGAGCATTTAATTAGAAGTGGTCATCTTTGGTCTCTATAAACTATGCCAAATATGTGAGTAAGTACACTCGTATCTTCTGATTAACTAAAACAGTATTATGTGTGACATTATTTCACAAGACATGACGTCTTTAATCTGTAGTGATTTCGTTCCTGATGTTAGTAACTATCGATATCGATATACTTACTCGTTTTTGTTTACTTATTTATTATTTATTACTTTCCTAGCTGTTCCCCGCGACTTCGCCCGCGTGTTATTTGGGGTTTTAATTATGTTGCACGGAACCCTAATTTTTTTTTCTAAAATATAAGTAGCCTAAGTTACTCCTTATAACATCAGCTATCTTTTTTTTTATATATGATAAGGGCGACAAACGAGCACACAGTCCACCTGATGGTAAGTGGTTGCTGCGGCCCATAGACATCTACACCTATCCTCGTTTGCGAATCAAAATGCAGATGCGTTGTCACCCGTGAGGATTAAGATGGAATGCCTCATTTCCAGTAAAAAGGGCCTCCGGCCACCTGCACTCACCAAGCGAAACGCAGAGGTAAACATCTACTTCACGCTGGTATTCTGTGAGGTCGTGGTACCACCCCGGTTTGAGCCGGCCCATCCGTGCGACAGCAAAAGCTGCCGCGTGGCTCTACCACTGTTATAATCTCTGTCAGTGAAAGTCCCGTCGAAATCGGTCCAGCCGTTACGGAGTTTAGCCGGAACAAACAGACAGACAGACAGACAGACAGACAGACAGACGGACGGACAGACAAAAATTTTAAAAATTGTGTTTTTGTTATAAGTACCGTATATAATTTCATATGCATTTAGTAAAAAGATGTAATTTTGACATTACAAACAGACACTTCATTTTTATTTATTTGTATAGATTATATGTCTACAAATAAAAAGAAAAGGGGATTAGACTTATTATCATTCGAGCGATCAAATAAATTGTTTTCTAAATCAAGTGATGATGATTAAATTACAAATTATATTGCAAACTAGCTGTTTCCCGCGACTTCGCTCGCGTGTTAGGGTTTTTATGTTTTTGCGCGAAACCCTAATACTTTTTCTAAAATAAAAGTAGCCTAAGTTACTCCTTATAAAATCAGCTATCTGCAAGTGAAATTCCCGTCAAAATCGGTCCAGCCGTTTCGGAGATTACCCGGAACAAAAAGACAGACAGAAAAAAATTTTAAAAACTGTATTTTAGTTATAAGTACCGTATTTATTTTCATATGCATTTAGTAAAAAACTGTAATTTTGACATTACAAACAGACACTTCAATTTTATTCATTTGTATGTAAAAAATGTTAAGGGAAATGTAACAGGATATAGGCAGCAGTATCTTCCTGATAAGACCTCAAAGTAACAAAACATTGCGGTTGCCAACGCATTTGCTTAGAGAGGACACTTTAACCAGTATTCTCCCTATGAAGCAATCTATGCAAAATGATAAAGCTGGAGACTTTTGAAATGCAGTAATTAATAAATATGAATAAACGATTGATAATATTCTTTTAGAGAGCATAGAAGAGCAGTACGACGTTCGTAACGGAGTTATAAGTAGTTGTGATAGAGCCAGAAAAAAATGACGCAGACCGCGGTCTTGTTGCGGTTATTACAATATCGTAGCAGTGTCCTCTGTGTACGTCCCGTGAAGCAAAACCAGTGTCGATTAGACAAGCACAAATAAATAAAATATTTCAAAGGGTTACTTGGTTATATGTTTAAAGCTATCATTCCCTGTGAAACTCATAATTCTAAAAGCCAATAATTCTAAAGTGTAGAGATAATTTGGCAGAAATACACCGGCTGCAGGAAGGAGATTTTATTAGTCAACTTTTCACGTAACTTTTAAATTACTACGATAGTGCGAAGTTCCTCATTATTCGACTATGTTTTTGTTGTAAGTTATCAGATGAATTTTCTATTAATGATTATTGATGTATTTAATTATTAGGAACTGGATTAATCAAAATTCTTAGTTTTACTTAGGCATAGACTAAATGTTCGACATGGAATCGACAACGTTTCTTGTTTCGCTAATGGCACATCAATAGAGGTGTCTATAGAATGGAAAAACGGCAACAACCTTTAAAAGAATGTCAGGGGACTAAATAAAGGGCACTGAAGTCAAATTAGTGTTTTTTAGACTTTTTGTCTGTCCGTCTTTTTTTTATATAGAATAAGGGTGACAAACGAGCACACAGTCCATCCGATGGCAAGTGGCTGCTGCGGCCCATAGACATCCACATCTATCCTCTATCACAAATCAAAATGTAGATGCGTTGTCACCCGTGAGGACTAAGATGGAATGCCTCATTTCCAGTAAAAAGGGCCTCCGGCCACCTGCACTTACCAAGCGAAACGCAGAGGTAAATCTCTACTTCACGCTGGTTTTCTGTGAGGTCGTGGTACTATACTACCCCGGTTCGAGCCGGCCCATCCGTGCGACAGCAAAAGCTGCCGCGTGGCTCTACCACTGTTAAGACCGTTACCGTCTGTCTGTGTATTCCCGATTCACGCAAAAACTAGTGGACATATTTCGATGAAATTTTTTGTGTAAATAGTACCGTACCCGAAGGTACCCGAAGGTACCCGAAGCAACTTATAGGCTACTTTTTATCCGATTGCGAACTTCAAAAAAGGAGGGTTAAGTATCTTAACTTCCTTAAGATGTTAATTTCTGTTTTATATTATTGATGATAGATGTGCTTTTTTAAATTAAATAACATATTTAAAATCTGATATATATTATTATTATATAAATTTAAATCCTAAAATTAGTTTTAACCGTTGCGTAATAATTTTAACTACGCCGACATTCGTTTCACTTTATCAAAACAGTGCCATCTAATGTGAAATTCAAAAAGTAGTAACATTTTACTAGTTACTTATAAATAAAATTAAAATAAATAACTTACATTTATATGTTTAAACAATTTAATTCATAATTATTTGAACATTATAACGACCATTTTTCAATTATTTCGTTATTTCATTTTATTAGGAATTAATAAAGTTTATAGTAACTAATTAGTACTTAAATAGATATTAATGACATCTATCGAAAATCATCAAATGTGAGATGTTTCTAAGTTTAAATTCTAATCTATAAAAAAAAGTTCTGTTTATCTATGTATAGGTACTATAAAAACTGATAAAAAGTGTAATTAATGCAAAACTCTCACCATGCACATAGTTTAAATCTTTAAATAAAGAGATTTTTATATACATATGTGTATTGGCCAGATCTTAAAATTAATAATAGCATAAAGTAGTCGATTATGGCACGAAAGGATGCCCTTTAATTAAATTTAATATTGTTTTTGACTATATCGTTATACTTGACCAAATCAGTAAATAGAGATATCGTTTGGCGATATTAACAACTAAACACAATGCTATTTCTTCATATTGTTTATATCATAAAATAATTTAATTCCAGACCGCTTGCAGATGCAGATAATAGCATATTTTTGACAGAAGCAGAATTTTTAATAGAATCTACATTACTTTATGCCTAATTTATGTATTTATTATATATAAATGTTGGCGGTTTTGTTCTGTTATTGCGCCACCCCAGTCGTAACTCAACTTATTGTCGCTGTGTACTAGAGGGTACAGTTTCTGTTTTCATAGTTTTAATCTCATAATAGCGATAAAATTTAATTTCGCTCTATAACGTACATATGCGGATAGATAAAAGTACTCCATTAATTTCACCAATTTTTCCATACATTCCTATCTAAAATGCTTGAACTAAATGTCATATATAAACACGTGATATACGTGGGTGAAACCGCGGGCCACAGCTAGTAGAACATAATAGAATTTCATTTCACAACTACTTCGTTGGGTTCGGTAGTTGATTGTTCCCATTCTATTACATAACTAAATAGAATGGGATAACTACGAATAAGTAATAGAATCAACAATCCAATGAAGTTACACGGTCCTATTATATTGTATAGTCTGTTCGCATAGTGTTGCGCTCGCGCCGCATTAGCACGTGCCAGATCTTGTCAAAGGCGTTGCCGCAACATTAAATTTCACCGCGAGCGGCGTACACCCGCAGGAGAATTTGGCATTTTAAAAAGAAGGGCCCAGAAGAAGTCCTCATCAGCCTGATTTTACTTTGGTACTACTGTCATTTCGTAGTCTTTAAAAGCACTATTATTCCCACTATTTTTACACATTTTATTCACAGATGGCGCCACTGCTAGGATTTATTATTTATACCGAAACCAAAATTACGCTATCGTTAGGGGCCGTCCACTAATCACGTGAGGCTCAAAATGGGGGGGGGGGGCAAAAATCACAAAATATCACAATGGTGGAGAGGGGTGTAGTAAGATATCACGAGTATTTATTTTTTCGTAAAATTTTTTTTTGACGAAGCAAGATGCTTATCCAGTTGTTAGTGTTGAAGAAAGTCTTGCAAATCCGTGGTTCGAGGACAATGTACATTATATATGTTCATGTACTAGTACAATATATGTTTTGCGCATGATTACACCATTCCCTTAATATTATTTTTATGCCAGTCAAAAACAACCTGCAGACATTCTGTCTAGACATTTATATCATGGTCCTTAATTTCAGAATAAAATTAGATTATACTTTATACCTGTATTTAATGATAATATTCTAAACATTTTCAGATTCTTTATAGGAACTAAAAAAATACACGTGATTTTGGGTGGGAGGAGGGGATTAGTCTTAACAACACGCACACATTATGACAAAGTTATAGTTGTTTTACTAAAATTACATAACTTTTCCTACCATTAAACACGCATTTGCTGTTACATTATGTAGCACTTTGCAATTGTTTAATACCATATTAATTATGTTTTTTTTTAATGTGTACAGTTCACTCGGTAGAAGTGAAACCTTCAAATCACAGATTAATAAATATGAAGCAAGCTATAATAAGCTTCAAATGAAATGAAATATAAAATAAAATGTATTAGATTTATTTAATAAAATAATTTTCAATCACACGTGCGTCATAAAATATAAGATAAAAGTTTAATTTTTTTGTAGCAAATACATGTTATAATACTTAATTTTTAAACTAAATTTTAAAGAAGTAAATCAAAAGAATATTTTCTTTCGAGTAAAATTGCTTTGTAATAATGCCATCTACTTCATTCTATAGGTAACATCATTTTATCGAACAAAAATTGATTGACTCTGAAGGTGGTACCTAATATTGACGCTAGATGATCTGAAGTTATGAAATCGTGGATTGTTAAGAATGGATCGGATATGATAATTTTATTTTTTTTTGTTTAATATTGGATAAAATTATTACTTTTACTTTACTTAATAAATTTGTTAATTTTTAACTGTTTAATCGAGTTCAAATCACAACGATACTAAAGAAATTTTCACTTCAAAAACAGATTCATACAAAATATAATAACGCGGATGAGCTTTTTTAATTTATCTCAAATTATATACATCTACGCCTGTAATCAGTAAAGGTAAGTTAAATGTATTATAATATAACATACAAATATCGTGTGGCGGCGGTGTAAGAATATCCACAACTATTTATCGTCCCGTGGGTGTAGTAAGAGGTGACAGGGGGAAACTAAAACAAAAGATGGGCGGCAGCATGCTCCTGATAACAAATCTAAATAATAAAAACTGCGGTTGCTCAACCCGCGTGATAAGGGTGACAACTATGACAAAATCCTTCCTCCAAGAGTAATATATAGAAGAGACTTATCTACAGCATTGGACTTTTATAGGCTGTAATGAATGGATGGATGAATACAAATACTCGTAAACTAAAATTAATATACTAGACTGCAACTAAGTAACATGTACAAAACTACATGTATTTTATACTGGACGATAACTGAATGTTTGATAAAAATTAACATAACCGAAGGTGAAGCCGACTTGATAAACCTATGCCAAAATTATGATACATTAAATAAATATTATACATTATAATATTAAAGATGTTAAAAATCAATTTGCTAAGAACATTCCCACTACACTTTTTTTTTACATGGGGTAATGCCTACGCATACCCGCCTCGCGGGGGCAAGGACGGGTTATGTCGGACTTGCATCGACTAAAACCCCATGGTGTTCCACCTTCGTCGCATATTGGCAGGGCCACGGGAACGCTTTCGCACACATCCGCGGCCCTACCTGCGCTGGCCGTCCCATGGCAGCCTCTCCTCGGGAGAGGACTACTCCTCCTCCATCTCCTTCTCAGGTAGGTCGCACCAGAACACATAGCGCGCCCTCTTCCTCGGCCTCCAATTTCACATGCGCAACGGACGCCCCCGTGTCCGATGCGCGAAGGCCATGGGGCCAGGAAAAACTAGCACTAAGAAGCACCAGCCTTCCTGACCCCAGCGGCGGATCTGGTCTCTGGCTCCACCGCCAACCAAGTTTCGGCCGCGGAGGGTAGGGAGAGCGGCGCCTCGCAATACCGATACTCCTCTCCCCCCGCGGCCCCACCACCACCACATCTACGGTGCGGCCCCGTTTGGATCGCGGAGGATAAGGGCGTGTGGCGCATCGCCATACCAACACTCCTCTTCATCCGCGACTCCACCTCGGCTGCAGCGGTAGAGGGAGCGGACACCCTTCTCACCGCAGCCCACCGACACACATCCGAAGTGGGCTCGTCAAGCCCACTCGGAGTGGCCACCTTGGGCCGGCCCTACACCACGGGCCAGCCAAGGGGTTCCTCTTTGTTCACCGCGGGTGACCAAGCCACGGCTACTAAGCCCCCCCGCCACGGTAAGGCGGGATTCCCACTACACTAGGAAAGACACACCACCTTCGATAATACGACACCTGCTTCGCCTCTACACGAGGCATCCTCAGGTGAAGTAGACTCTGCAGTGGCTGTGGCTGCGGTGGCTGACTGTACTGCTTAAGTGTCGTATTATCGACAGTGGTGTGTCTTCCCTAATCTAGTGATGTTGGGAGTAGTGGTGCTGGGATTGGTGGTGACGGGATTGAGGGAGGGCGGAAGGTGCTCTTCAAACTAGGTAAGACATAATTTTTTTTATTATGCGGATCTTAGCAAATTGATTTTTAACATTTTCTCCCGACTTCAAAAAGGAGCCGGTACTCAATTCGACTGTATGTTTTTTTTATGTGTGTTACCTCATAACTTTTTAATAGGTGAACCGATTTCGAAGATTATTTTTTTTATTGGAAAGCTGGTGATCCACATGTGGTCCCATATAAATTATAATTTTTTTTTATTCTTAATAATTTATATTGAAGTCGGTGGTACAAAATTTTTAAATATTAATAAAATGGATTTCCGCAAAGTAACACCTTGTTCTTTTAATGATATTATAAAGCGATAAGATTAGCTAGACAACGTGAATAATTATTAGTTAGGCTAGTTGAGCTAGTTTTATATCGATCCGCAAAATTCGAACATGTATAAATTCAAACATTCTTAACGATCAAACTACTGAATTATTGAAAGAGTTTTTATGCCGGTCATTTAATAATAGTTATCAATGTAATGGCGGCTGTACACGCTCGTCGAGACACCACAAGACAGGCCGAGTACGAGTGTGTACATGGTGTCCTCGTCGCGTCGCGTTGCGTCTCGCGGCTCTCGTTCGCTCTCGGAAGCGTGTCGGTTTTTTGCGCTCGAGTCAAAGGGTCTCGTGAGTCTCGCGATGAAAACGAGAGCGAGCCTATACACACTCGTTTGTTTTCTGATAATTATAACAATTATCAAGAAAATGGTTCAATGTTGTTAAATACAGTATAGGAAGTTACATGGTTCTATTACAGTGAATAGAAACCATCCACCATGGCTTATTAATTTTCTTTTTATTGGAAATATGTTGTAAATTATAATAAAAAATAGCAAAGGCAAAACACAGCAACAGTTTCTTCTACGTCCATCGCAGTGCGCATCCGGAGTTCAAGTGATACAACGAGTGTGTACATGGTGTGCTCTCGTGTCGGACCTCTACGCGACGAGAGGCACGCGACGCGACGAGACGAGCGTGTACAGCCGCCATAACATACAAAGGCAATGGAAACGACGAGACGCGACGGCTACGCACACTGGAGTGAGACAGCGACATTAGTGTGACGTTCTAACATCGTAACTGTTACTGGACTGGCCTGTATTATTTAATTTCCCTATTGAGTTGAAGCCGAACAGCGATCGTTGCCTGCCGCGTGCTGTATTCGCCGTTGTTTACCTTTGAATTTAAACAACATAGCGTTTCTATTGATATTATCTTTATCGTACACCGAATCTACGTATGGTAGATATTAGACACACAAGTTAAAAATAGTGCAAATAATATGTGTTCGAAGATAACAAATACACCGATTGGACTAAAACTAAGAGTGTTACATCGTGTAAGATTAGTAATTGCGGCAATAGTGAGGTTTTTCTTTTGTTTGTATTATGGCACTGAAGGGAAAAAGTTGCCGCCTATACAAGATGATATCCTCAAACTGCCTGCAGTTGAAGTTGCGAGGAAAATTAGACAAATGGAGGTAAGTGTAGTAGCTATAGTATGTATTATTAAATGTACGTTCGAAGAGCGAATAATTTTATAAGTCTCGCTATACTAGTTCAAAACGAGTAGAAGAAAAAGAGTTAAAAAGAGTAGAATGACACAATATATGTTAAGTGTGGTTTAATATTTTACACCAGCTGTTAATTAATTTAGTAAATATTATTTTTATTAATTAAATATGATTTTTTGTATAAAACCTTATTTTTCTGCCGACTTCCAAAAAGGAGACGGTACTCAATTCGACTGTATGTTTTTTTTTTTGTGTGTTCCCTCATAACTTTTTACTGGGTAAACCGATTTCGATGATTCTTTTTTATATGAAAGTTGATACTTCTCGTGTGGTCCCATATGAATTTGATCAAGGTCAGACCAATAGTTTTTGAGTTATTCTTAATAACTTATATTGAAGTCGGCTGTACAAAATTTTTAATTTTAAATTATTATAACATCATTACTAGGCAGAGTAAAAAATGTCACTCGATAAAAAGACCAAATGTTTTATTAGTATTTAAACTTAGGAAGATAATAAATAGATAAGATAAAAACTTACAATCTTTGAATGTTAACGTCATTTTAAAACTTACTTAATCTGTGTGAATGCATTAAAAGTACCGAAAGATTCAGTGTTCAGTGCACAGAACACTAATACCCTTAGGCGGGAAGAATGTCAACTTCAAACAAAGAAAATGGCACCCATAATGCACGCCATCTCTGTCGTGCCCCCTAAAACTTTTTGCGCGGGAATTTTGACACGTGATTTTTTTTTAGTTGTCGTCTTGGTTGTTTCGTTTCAAAAATAGCTTAAGAATGTAAAATACCATATAGATAGATATAGCTTGTAGTTTTTCGTTTCAATGATATATATTGCTAAATTAAAACGAAAACAAAAGCACAAAGTTATTTGTAAATTATGGTACTTTACATTCATAAACCACTTTTGAAACGATTAGCAATCATTTTAATATAAAAAAGGAACTATTTTTCAAATAAAAGTGGTTTTTGAAATACATAATTTTTATTTACATTACATACTTGTCTACATTGGTACATAGAAAAACCGTTGGTACATTGATGGACGTAAGTGACGGAGTAATTAACTAATTTTTAACATGGCATATGTAACATGACATTTAAGCAAAATGGAAAGTAAAGGTACATTGGTTTTATATAAAAAAAGATTAGACAATCTAATATAAACACTTTTTTCTAACAAGAAAACATTATTTACCTTCACATTCTACAAACAAGGCAATAGCTTTGCAATATTATGTCTAAACTCCAATAACCTGATTATATTATAGATGCCACCAATAATATTACATTTGTAGAAATTATTTTCGTTATGTTATTGTTATTGACTGCATTAAAAACTAATAAGTCAACATTTTCATGTCATTAATTAGCACTACCTGCTGCAAATCCATCCACGAAAAACAAAAAGGATAAAGATATGTTGATAAAAATGAAATATCATCTGAGAAAAATTAACAGGCTTCAAAAAACTGTAAAGCATCTAAAGAATGAAGAATTTCTCAAAGTATTGAGCAAAAATAACTCCGTAAATGAAATATTAAAATGTAAAATATCCCCCTCTTTTGCAAACTGCTCTTCAAAGAAAAACTGATATCCTGCAGAATAAATAAGATGTTACATGGATATATACGTAATTAACTAATTTTTAATTTTATGCATGTAAACAGTTCTGAACAGCTCTTAACTAAATATCGATTTAATAGTTAAGTAGTTATTATTATTTTTCGATAATACAGGTAGATGTCTAAGTGTCACAGCATTTACTTGCTAAATTCTATAAAAATACAAATGTATGTGATATCCATATCCCACAGTAAACTTAAAAGTTAGTTGCATAGCAATACGATTGTTTGTAGGGTGACTAATAAACTATCCGACATTAAACGATAAAAAGACTGTAAGGTATGATTCGCACCAGTAAAGTGATAGTTTCGAAAATACTATATTCGAAATCCAAAAGTGGCTCTATATGGCAAATATTTTAAAAAAAAACTTAAATTTAAATCCTACCTGCCTCACGGAAGCAAGGAATATCTGACCCACTCCGACTAAAACTCTCAGATGTTTCATCTTCACCACTTATCGGCAGGACTACGGGTACACTTTTACACACATCCATAGCCTCATCAGCGCTAGTCACTCCTTGGCTTCTTTTATCTCCTTATATAATGTCACCACTGAAGTGATTATGACTGTACATATAGAAAAAGTAGTTCCATGTAATATCTTATTTATTCTGCAGGATATCAATTTTTCTTTTAAGAGCAGATGCAGAGTACTCTTCTGCAAATTGCCGATTTTTCAAAATACAAAATCTCTTCATACAAATGTGAAATACGCTATTAAATAAGTAATCTATATTCATATCTTTATGTTCTTTAAAACTCAATAAATTGGGAGTTTCTCGATGAATGTCCATTCATCGAGAAACTCCCAATTTATTGAGTTTTTGAACAAAACTTTAATTGTCCCTTTTAATTTTTTTTTTATATGCTTCTGCCTCTAAAAAATCATAAATCATCGTAGCACTACTTTCAATACAGTTAATGAGGTTTTTAGAGGCGTATTTAAGGGACTTTTTTAGATCACTATATTCTTTAAAGTCAATAAAAGTATGTGATCTCTCTTGTGTCTCAGATACAAAAATTTTTTTACAAATTTCACATTTGTTGAGATTATTTTTTACTATAAACCCACAGACATAGGCACATGCTTGTATTTCGCCACTGCTTTCTTCCAAGCTACATTCAAATGTAGAATTTACACTTTCTTCTAACTCATCGGTTAAAATTGTGGCATAAGCAGTGTGTGTGTCTGTGGGTGGAGACAATAAAGATTTAAAATTTGTCAATATAACTTGATTTTGGTCTTCTTCACAATTTCCTGTCCCAATAAAAGATAAGTTGCTAAGGACAGCCGTTTTGAGACCCGCAACAAACTGCCCAGCAGTGGGATTTGAATTGCAGCCGCAATTGACCCGAATGCATCCAAAAAGATTTTCTAACGGGTCCTGCTGGAGCCTTCTTGTTTCCAAAATTTTATTGATTTATGTTTAGAACTGAGATTTCTCCAAATTCGTTCTATTCCATTGATGGACCATATCCAACCTTCTTGGGATGGAGGAGCTCGTAATGCATCCCAAAAACGTCATTTCTTTAAAAAAATTCTTCATTAAAGTGAAATGTGTGAGATGTGGTGTATTATTTGTCATGTTTGTCGAATATGGTTTCCCCCTTCTTAGGTCTGGTGAGCATGCGTTGACACAATCAAACAGCTTGTCCATATTTGCAATAACATTAGCTGTAGTGACAGCCTCTGAAGAGAGTTCCCCTGTAAACAACACATAATTTAAGATCTTACTATTAGGATTAAAGAAACATGATTTAAAGTATGTTACAAGACAACTCAAAAATAATATCACATATCAGTATCACACAATAAACAATAATTTGTACTTGGGAGAGCCTAGTTGCTTTTTAAGTTAATAATTATTTTAATGGGTGGACATATGTTTAAATATTATACTTTAAATTATAAATTTAATTTACCTTGTGAAATTTTAGCATACATTCCTGCAGCAACTGAGTGGCTTAACACTTGTGCAGCTAGCTTCACCTTCATCTTCTGCTTCGTATTTGGATTTAAATGTTCTTGTTTTAAGCAAGGTGCAAACACAAAATTGGGATTGGTGTTATCTGTTTCATAAAACTCCTTTATATGGCTCCATTTAGCAACACCTGTAAAAAAAATTTGTGTAAATATCCAGTAAATTGGAAATATGTATAATATTATGATTGTAATAAAACAAAATATCTTACCAAATCCAATTTGATCATTTGATGTTATATTTGTTGGATATTTAATGTCATATTTTAAAAACATATTTCTAAAGCATTTGAGCAAATGCGGAGTATCAAAAATGGTAACCACTTCTCGATTATTTAGCAGAATATATGGCTGTTCTACAGATGCTCCCAAGATACTTAAAGCTCTCTTATTCACACCATCCATATCACACACTGTAGCTGAAATATTAATTCCAGCATCAAAACAATGTTGCAGGACCTAGAATGATAAAAGGGTAAATTAATATGGTAAAAAAGTACTACTACATATATTGACATAATAACAAATAAAAGACCATAATGCTCACCTCCTTAGAATAATAATAAGCAATTGGTTGTTTCAGCTTTTTACGGATTCCGCCAATCATGAACACGAGGGCATGTGTTGCCATTTGTGGTGACCTGCTCTGCAGTGCATGGTCTTGATAACCCTCAATTATGTCCTCCTTTTTGTTGTAAAACAAATACTTTTTTATTGACATCTCATCAAACATAAGGATATACTCATTGTCTGAGGGAGTCTGTTGCTTTATTGTTTTTTTCAAAACATTAAAAATTTGGTCATTAATACCAACTTTCATGTGAAACTTGCTTAATAACGCTTTTAATGAACTAGGTGTTGGCAGGCAAATCATCCTTCTTAATAATTTGTAACACCTAGGTGACCTTTTATACAGTCTTAGGTGCTATTATTTTGGAGTCCATGTTCCATCTTCGACCTTATGATTTTTTTTTATAGTTTTGCCATTCTCCTTGCAAAAATAATGCAAAAGAGGGGGATATTTTACATTTTAATATTTCATTTACGGAATCATTTTTGCTCAATACTTTGAGAAATGCTTCATTCTTTAGATGCTTTACAGTTTTTTGAAGCCTGTTAATTTTTCTCAGATGATATTTCATTTTTATCAACATATCTTTATCCTTTTTGTTTTTCGTGGATGGATTTGCAGCAGCAACAGGGTTGATATTCTCAGTTACTTGAGGAATATCACTAGTTATGTCAGGAATGGTTTTATAATTTACATTCTCACACAAGGGTTGTATAAATTTTGACGGACCCGCAACAGGCTCAAATACATTTGAAACAGTTATAGTC